TTAAATCAAATATGTGGTGCAGTTAATATTACAATGAATCATTCATACAAAAAGTAAATTACTAAAGTTAATGATATAAAATGGCGAAATCCTTTCGCTAAGAAAATTTTAAAGATGCATTAACATACCAATATCTCGATGAACGTTATGATCCTTGTTTTGTTTTGTTTTTTTAAATTATAATCTGTATAAGGTCTTTCTTTAATACGCAAGTACTTTCGACTGTACATTCAGTCATCTTCAGACATGGAAATTATTTTGTTTTTGGTAAAATTCAGGTAGCATCTGAGACGTAAAAATATAATGCGAATCGAAATATGTTTTTTTTCTTCTTTTTTTTTTAATGTATTATTGATAATGGATACAAACTTTTGGAGCGTGCAGTCGCAACGCTAAGGTTGAATTTTTTTGAAAATTTAAGAGAGTTCGTTTTTTAATAATATGGCAATTTGAGGATTTTTTGTTGCATGTGGCATGAACTAAATTGTTCAATAAATAGAGTAATGTCTCAGTTGTTATCCCGAAAATTTGCACGTCGGATCAGTTCTTTTAAATCAAATATGTGTTGCAGTTCAATTTATATTACAATGAATCATTCATACAAAAAGTAAATTAGTAAAATTAATAATATTTTATATGAATGATTCATTGTAATATATTTTTAGGATATCTACATATACCATGTGAATTTAAGTTACTATTTGATCTTATCTGGAATAGTTATAATTAACGTATATGCTCGCGTATCATACAGCCTTTGGAGACACACACACATACTTACATATATATATATATATATATATATATATATATATATATATATATATATATATATATATAATTTAGCTCTTGAAAAATATATTTCAATTGAGCACTGTTGAGTGATAAATAATACTATAAACAACAGCCACCTGCTTTAATGCAAAGCTCTTCAGTAAAATGAATTGAGCACTCCGGCTGATTGGCATTTGTTTTCATTCGTAAAAACAAGACGCTAGATTTAGTTGTTTCTCTCTGTCGAATGAAGATAGCTTAGTGGTAGAAACTCTTATTGATCGGTTGGGTTTCGATCCGGGTTTGAAAATATTCGGATGTCTAGTCGAATGACATGAATATATATATATATATATATATATATATATATATATATATATATATATATCAAATTGAGGATTCTTGTTCTTGATCGATGAATTATTGTGAGAAATTTGTTCAAATTATTCAAATCTCCCAAATTTTCTATCATATATAAACCTATGCATGGTCAAGGTTTAATGCTCTTTTTGGAAATACTTGATGAAAACACAATTGATGTTGCTCTTGGGGCCTGTTCGGGTGGTTTATGTAGACTTGTATAAATATCACTCCCGGAATTAGAAGTAGCTGCACTATATTGAGTCCAATTAGCTTCCACTTCGTCACCGCTGGTCCAGTGGTATGATGCTTGCGTTGTATCGTAACGGTCTGGTTTCAATTCTCGGTAGTCGATGCGCACTGCTGATGAGGACACGTACAAAAAATATTGGTCAAATATGTACCAAAAGGGAAACGTTAAGATTCGAAATTATATTTGTATATACATCCAGTGTTAGGGAATATTTTCTTGTTTATGGGGTGTGGTCAGTGAGAGTACTTATGGAAAGTTTTACAAACAGGCATACCAAAGACTAAATCTCAGTCGCTGGTATCAAATCTAATCCTTGGGGTGGAATCCGGAGGTGTTAGGGTCTCATTTAAATCAATAAGAATATTTTCTCTCAACGAAAAAACAATTCTAGCCAACTTTGGACAGTTTTTTATAAGCATTGCAATAAACAGTTCTTTGGAATAATTCTTGCATAGTGAAACATTATTCAAATAAAAGTACAATGATATTCAGTGGTTCTGAACTGATATGGTCAGTTTTAGTACCTTGGAATCAAAATTGGTTGAAAATACTAATTTAAAGAATAAATTGGTGTTTAAGCGAAGAAAAGAAATGGGGTTAAGTTCAAATAAATCTATTTTGATATGGATCTTAGGAATCTGATATTTTATTAGTATTTCTTAAGTTTTAACGTATACTAAGTTTTGATAACTTCTGTCAACTTAAAATCTAGTAGAAAATTTTTGCTCTTGTCACAACAGGTTTTTACGGCACTTATTTTATGGTAAGGTACGCAAAAGAAATTCTTTAACATGTTTCGTCCGTCACCGAAATGGCTAGTGAGATTGCAAATACAATAAATAAATGCTGCTGTGGACAAATATCTCTTAAATTAATCAAATGTTAAACAGTATTACTTAATTACAATTACATCAAGTACATTTGAACAGGAAGGATTATTATTATTATTATTATTATTAATAATAATAATAATAATAATAATAATTAAACTACAAAAACAGAATGTTCTTTCTTATTGACATGGCAGTTCCTGCAGACTTATCAATAATTCCATTTGTAGTTGGAGCCCTCGATTTTATTAGAAAAGAACCCTATAAAATCGCTGGTATCCCATTTCTTAAAAAATACAATTTTACTAACAGTGTACCACTAGGAACATTACCATATACTAAGAAAAGTGCTATCAATTAAATGACAATTCTCCCTAAGGACCATAGTTTGGACTTGGCTCTACAGGATACAAAGCAGGAAACATAACATACACAAATAATAATAATAATAATATCGTGATCAAAGACCACAAGAACAGAATTTGCTTTCTTATTGTCATAGTTGTTCCTGCAGATTGTAATGTATCATCAAAAAATTATCTAAATACAAGGACCTTGAAGTGGAAATCTCAATTGTAGTTGGAGCCCTCACTAAGTTCCGATAGAATTATTGAAGGGATTCCTGGTAAACCATGCCTTAAAGAAATACAAACGAATTGTACTCACAACTATATCTCACACATTACGAAGAGCTTTATCTATGTAAAATGTGTGGGGCCCGAAAGGAAATGTGTATACAACAAAAATCCAAAGAAATAATAAAAATAATAATTAAAAAATAATAATAATATTCTATTCATGAAAGGGAGAAAAACAAAAAATATAGCAAATAAAAACATACATCTAGAACAAACATTTTCTGTTGGTTATTTCGAAAGTTAAGGAAACACGCTGCTTACATATGAAGACGTATTCAGATCTAACTGTGGTTTATAACGTTAAGATTGTACACCCATGTGTAAATTAATTATACAGGAAGATGTGGAGGGCCATGATCACTTACACTCTTGTGTAAATTAATTGAAACAAAATGAATAATTCTGTTATATTTTTTTTCGTATTTCACGAATGAAGCATAGCTTAGTGCACATGTTAGTACTTCGTATATCCATTCCATAAAGTCGTTCCTTGCAGATTGACCACAGATTCTTGATTGGATTTAAATCAGGAGAGTTTCCAGGCCAGTCTATAGTACTTTGATTTGCTCACTGTTAAGGCTTGCCAGTGTGTTTGTGCAGCGTTATAATTTTCGTACGCTTCGTTGGAGTAGTGTCCATTACAGACAATTGCTGTAGGACAACTAATCGACAGTCGTAACAATAATGTCTCAGCGTAATGAAAATCTGATGTAATCACGCATGACGCAATATTTTTCAAGGCCAAATAAAACTGTCATTTTCAGGACAGCACTTTTCAGCGAATACGAAACTGTCTTTTTCAGGACAACACTTTTCAGCGACTACAAAACTGTCCTTTTCATACACCCCGAAAATAGATTCATATTACTGAACACTACTCTAATCAGAGGAAAAAATAGAAATCGCTTACACACTGTCACTTCAGTGGGTCTAAAAATGACCGTATTTTAGCCAATTTCAACATTACCATGGTCCGCGTTGTCTCTAAACTTTCTCATATTTTTTGTTCTTCCAATCATTGCCCTAAGTTCTTTGGTTCCAGTGTTCCACTGATTATGGAAACGACTTTCGTTTTTCTATTTAGCTTTTCTTTTTCCCCTGATCAGTTTCTGATTTCTATTCTTATCTTTAGTTTGTATCACCAGTGCTAAGTCATTTGCACAATTCTCAATAAATTATTATCCCCACTCAAACATACACCAATTCTTTTGGGCAGGGACATGCTCTACAACCACGGTAGATCTTGAGTGAGGTCCTGGTGTTTTATTGTTTTTATTGCATATTTTCAAGTTTCTTTCATCTTCACCTTTTGGTCTGCAGGCAGGTTTCTTTTCCGTATTTACAAAAAGCAGATGCAGTTTTCTTACTTAGTGCGTGGGTGGTCAGTTCTTGCATTCTTTCTGGGTGTGTTTACTGCCTTTGTCTATTATATATTCCTCACTCTCACACATTCTCTCCCTTCCCCTCTCTCTCTCTCTCTCTCTCTTTCTCGCACACACATTCTCGCTCTCGCTCTCACACACATTCTCTTCATCTCTCTCTAACACATTATTTTCCTCTCTCACATATTCTCTCTCTCTCTCTCTTTCTCTCTCTCTCTCTCTCTTTCTCTCTCTCTCTCTCTCTCTCAGATACAAACATACATTTCTTTCTTCCGCACACACACATACACACATATTCCTTGCCTTTCTCTCTTTCTCATGACACACACAATAATTTTCTCATCCTCTCTCACACATAAAAACTCCCTTGCAGAAATTTAGAAAATTAAGATCTCTTGTTAACATTCTCTTCTTCTCTCAAAATTAAAATTCACACATTCTCTCCTTTCATCTCTCTATCTCTCTCTCTCAAACACACATTCTCTACCTCTCTTTCTCACACACATTTTCTTCCTCTTTCTCTCTCTCATACATATACACATTCTCTCCCTCTCTCTCCCTCTTACCTACAAATTATCTCCCTTGAAACGCACACATTCTTTCTCTTTCTTATTTACGAAATTCAGCCGTTTCTCTACTTGTGGACGTTTTCTCCTTTTAAAAAATAACTTTTCTCTCTCTTAATCTTTCTCATATATCTCTCTCTCTCTCTTACACACAGATTCTCTCCCTTCCATATCTCTCTTACATGGTATTTGCTTAAATGTCTCTCTCTCACACAGACACCTTCTTTCACCCTCTCCTTTTTGCACATTCTCTCTCTCTCTCTTACATATACGCATTCTCTGCCTCTCTCACACATCCATTCTCTTCTTCTGTCACTCCAGCCCTGAAAAAAAAACACATTCATCTCCCAAAAGAAATGTTAACTAATTTTCTCTCCCTCTTTCTTACACTTCTCCCTCTCTCTCTCTCTCTCTCTCTCTTCATATTGATAACAAAAATATTTTCAATCTCTCTCACACAAACAAATTAACATAATACAAATCCATCTCATTCTCACACATTTTCTTCCTATTCCCCCTCTCTCTCTCTTTCTCTCTCTCTCTTTCTCTCTCTCTCTCTCTCTCTCTCTCTCTTACACTCCTATTTAAAGAATTCTCTAATATATTCTCTATCTCTGTCTCTTACCAGCACATTCTCTCCCCCTCTCTCACTCTCTCACACATATATTCTTTATCTCTCTCTGTCTCTTACCTACACATTCTCTCCCTCTCTCTCTTACACATTCTCTGTCTCTGTCTCTGTCTCTTACCTACACATTCTCTCCCTCTTGCACACACACATTCTCTCACTCATGCATTCTCTCTCTCTCTCTCTCACTCTCTCTCTCTCTCTCTTACCTCCACATTCTCTCTCAGTCACTTACCTACCCATTCTCTCTCTTTCTGTCTCTCATACATACACATTTTCTTTCTTTCTTTCTTTCTTTCTTTCTCCCCATGCAGATGATATTTACCACTTGGTTTTATAGGTTTTGCCTTTTACTCACTTGTTCGCAAAGATTTTCTTCCTTGATGTCATTAATCATGACTCAACACGCTACAAAATACTTTTAGTTTTAGTAATTCCTACATATTTAGTCTCTGGTTACCACTAGATTTGTATGTTTTATGGTTGGACCTTACTAACTTCTGATTTAATATCACGAATTTGACCCATCGTTAACTCAAGAGTCGAAACTTGATATAAAATTTTTATCTCACCAACAATCGTTTGTCTTTTTTGCATAAAGAAGTTGTTTTTTTTTTTTTAATAGGATGTAGCCGACCCATACACGAGAATTTAGTAATTTCAACAATCCATTTCTGTTCTTTCTCTTTGGCAAAAGTTGATATCAGTAGCGAAAAAGAAATTAAAAACTGGTTGTGAAATTATTAGACAATGGATGGTATGCTTGTCGCGGCCGCCATTAGCCGCTCCTTAGATAAACGACCTTGATCTTTCACAACCCCTGATCTTGCAGATTTTGCTCTTGTTCTTCCTGCAACAAGGATATCTGTTGATTATTGGGATATACTTTCTCTGTGATCAATTATTCTTCGTTTCTGTTGAATTGCCTCACTACGAGATCCAAGCATGATGATTTTGACATTTGGATAACACACAACGGTCTCCTATCAGCCTTTCGGGCACCTACGACGTTCACCATCCACACACCCAACAGCATCAGATATTGTGACAACGTTAAAATAATATGGCTTTTTTTTTTTTACTTTATATCGCATGACATTGAAAGAGCTATCTAGATTTTTTTCCATCAATCAAATGACCAGATTATAATGCAATCAACGATCTCATTACAACCGGACTTTGTGCCACTGACTTTGTGGCCAATAAAAAAAATGTCTTTGAAGCAGTAGAAAAGATGAAAGCTTATCCATTCAAAACTTCTAAACACAGTGGATGATCGGAATTGTATCGCACGCAGACACAAAACAAAAATTCATCGAAAAAGCAAAGAAAACAAGTTTTTTTTCTTTCTTCCACGTCCATCCGTTTTTTTTTTTTGGAGGGGGGGCAAGAAGATGGCATAATGGAAGACCAGAAAATTAGCCAAACATTATTCTTTAATTTTCTTTCAAAATCTATATATAAAATAACTGATTTTCTGTCCGTCACACACTGTCTGTGTGTAACTTTGTATGAGCTTATCTAATGTATATGTGCATTTCTGTTGATTGATTGATTGATTGATTGATTCGTTTTTTACAGATTATCAACACTTTGCAGGTTATTTAAAGCCAGATAATATTTTTGTATATGCCTATGTAATGTATATGTGCATGTCTGTTGATTGATTGATTCGTTTTTTACGGCTTATCAACCCTTTGCAGGTTATTTAAAGCCAGGAAATATTTTTTGCAAGCGCCTCTGTAATGTATATGGGCATTTCTGTTGATTGATTAGTTTTTTACGGTTTATCAACTCTTTGCAGGTTATTTAAAGCCAGAAAATATTTTTAGTTTGTAAGCATTTCTTTTGAAGATAATATTGATCTATTTATACTAAGATTACTATTTAACCCATAGCTGCAGAAACAAAAGAGATTCATAACTTTCTCAAGCGTATTTGCCCATAAGTGAATATTCGTAACACAACTGAAATTGGAACTCGGATCTTGTTTAACAATTCCGAGGCATTATCCATTACACCACCCGCACATCGAAACTTATATCCAACCTGGTATTCCCAAGCGGGCACCTATCTTTTTTTTTTTATTTTGCTAATACATTTGTTAATCTTTGTTCGTTTTTTTTTCTGTTTTTTTTTTTTTGTTTTTTGTTTTTCATTTTATCTCAAAATGTCTTCTTTTAGCTACACCCTTGTGCAAATTAATTGAAACAAACTGAATAATTCCTCTATTATTTACTTTTTTTTTTCGTATTTTTCCGATGAAAGATGACCCGGAGCTCATGTTAGTACTTCGTATGTCCATTCCACGAAGTCGTTTCCTACAGATTGACCACAGGATTTAAATCAGGAGAGTTTCCGGGTAAATCTATAGTACTTTGATTTGCTCACTATTAAGGCTTGCCAGTGTGTTTGTTCAGCGTTACAATTTTCGTACGCTTCCTTGGAGTAACGTCCATCGCAGACAATGGCCGTAGGACAACTAATCGACAGTCGTGACAGTAGTGTCTAGGGGTGATGAAAATCTGATGCAATCACGGATGACGGAATATGTTTCAAGTCAAACAAACTTCATCATACACCCCGAAAATAGATTCATATTACTGCACATTACTGCAAATGACCTAATCTGAAAAATCGCTTTTACCCTGTCACTCCAGTGGATCTAAAACTGACAGTATGGTGGAAGAATGGAAGCTAAAGCTACAGAAGACTGGATGATGGTATGTGTCAAGTAGTAAGCGTCTTTGCTCCGTAATGAAAGAAGCCAACAAATTCAAAATGGCGTTACCAATGGGCGCAGAAATACAAGTAAAGCACAATACACCGGCTGAAGCTGCAAAATACTTAAAAAAAGAAAGCAAAGACAAATGCAACCGACCAGATACAGAAAGAATGACAATATAAACGGCTTAATGGCCAATACTCTGCCCCTACCAGAGAAGCTGATGTAGACAAAACCCGTACGCATCAGTGGTTACGTAGTGCAGGGTAGAAAGCTGAAATCGAAGGTTTGTATTCTTGCTGCACAAGACCAATGCTTGCTAACTAGAAATTAACAAGGACATATACTGAAAAATTGTTAAACCGAAATGCAGATTTTCTGATAAATATCCAGAAACAATTAAACATCTTGTATCAAATAGCTCGATGTTAGCACCCACTGGATATAAAAATCGGTATGCTAGAGTGTACCAATATCTGCACTGGAAAATATGCAACGTTAATGGGAAGGAAACTGCAAGAAACTGGTAAGAATATGATCCAGATAGGAACTGGAACAATTTTAGGGAATTTGACAATAAAATTTCTCGGTCCATCTCATTTGCATAAGTTTTATATGTAAACCAGAATAATAAAATACCTGAAAGCATTTCACCAGTACGAACCGAACGGTTTGATTAATTCCGAAATATAAACGACCTCCTTTCTCAAACGATTTAAAATGTCAAGCGGAACGTATTTTTTTCTAACATGAAATGAGTCCGGTTCAAAAAAATGAAACGCTTCACGAATTTGCGTATCATCCTTGCGCAGGGGCCATGCTAATCTCCTCTGTATCGTTCCAATTTTAGAATATGTACTGCCGAAGCGAGTACATGCTAAACATTAGCCGACTTCCTTATGTAGGGCACGAGTAATGGGAAACAATTTCTCGGTCCATCTCATTTGCATAAGTTTAATATGTAACCCAGCATAATAAAATAGCTGAACGCATTTCACCAGTACGAACCGAACGGTTTGATTAATTCCGAAATATAAACGACCTCCTTTCTCAAACGATTTAAAATGTCTAGCGGAACGTATTTTTTCTAACATGAAATGAGTCCGGTTCAAAATATGGAACGCTTCACGAATTTGCGTGTCATCCTTGCGCAGGGGCCATGCTAATCTTCTCTGTATCGTTCCAATTTTAGAATATGTACTGCCGAAGCGAGTACATGATAAACATTAATCCGACTTCGTTATGTAGGGCACGAGTAATGGGAAACAATTTCTCGGTCCATCTCATTTGCATAAGTTTAATATGTAACACAGCATAATAAAATAGCTGACCGCATTTCACCAGTACGAACCGAACGGTTTGATTAATTCCGAAATATAAACGACCTCCTTTCTCAAACGATTTAAAATGTCTAGCGGAACGTATTTTCTTCTAACATGAAATGAGTCCGGTTCAAAAATATGGAACGCTTCACGAATTTGCGTGTCATCCTTGCGCAGGGGCCATGCTAATCTTCTCTGTATCGTTCCAATTTTAGAATATGTACTGCCGAAACGAGTACATAATAAACATTGTCCGATTTCGTTATGTAGGGCACGAGTAATGGGAAACAATTTCTCGGTCCATCTCATTTGCATAAGTTTAATATGTAACCCAGCATAATAAAATAGCTGACCGCATTTCACCAGTACGAACCGAACGGTTTGATTAATTCCGAAATATAAACGATCTCCTTTCTCAAACGATTTAAAATGTCTAGCGGAACGTATTTTTTTCTAACATGAAATGAGTCCGGTTCAAAAATATGGAACGCTTCACGAATTTGCGTGTCATCCTTGCGCAGGGGCCATGCTAATCTTCTCTGTATCGTTCCAATTTTAGAATATGTACTGCCGAAGCGTGTACATGCTAAACATTGTCCGACTTCGTTATGTCGGGCACGAGTAATGGGAAACAATTTCTCGTTCCATCTCATTTGCATAAGTTTAATATGTAACCCAGCATAATAAAATAGCTGAACGCATTTCACCAGTACGAACCGAACGGTTTCATTAATTCCGAAATGTAAACGATCTCCTTTCTCAAACGATTTAAAATGTCTAGCGGAACGTATTTTTTTCTAACATGAAATGAGTCCGGTTCAAAAATATGGAACGCTTCACGAATTTGCGTGTCATCCTTGCGCAGGGGCCATGCTAATCTTCTCTGTATCGTTCCAATTTTAGAATATGTACTGCCGAAGCGAGTACATGCTAAACATTGTCCGACTTCGTTATGTAGGGCACGAGTAATGGGAAACAATTTCTCGGTCCATCTCATTTGCATAAGTTTAATATGTAACCCAGCATAATAAAATAGCTGAACGCATTTCACCAGTACGAACCGAACAGTTTGATTAATTCCGAAATATAAACGACCTCCTTTCTCAAACGATTTAAAATGTCTAGCGGAACGTATTCTTTTCTAACATGAAATGAGTCCGGTTCAAAAATATGGAACGCTTCACGAATTTGCGTGTCATCCTTGCGCAGGGGCCATGCTAATCTTCTCTGTATCGTTCCAATTTTAGAATATGTACTGCCGAAGCGAGTACATGCTAAACATTGTCCGACTTC